GACCTGTTACAATTCTATGGAACTACACAATACACACAGACAGAATAATTAAAGCTAACCGCCCAGATATTGTTATTAGAGACCGCATACAAAAAAAGTGCCTCCTTATTGATATGGCAGTCCATGCTGACTGCAATGTATCTTTGAAGATATTCAAAAAGTTTCAAAATACAAGGACCTTGAAATAGAAATCTCAAAAATGTGGCATATGGGAACATCAACAATGCCTGTTGTAGTTGGAGCCCTTGGTCTGGTTGGAAAGGATGGCAGTAGACTAATTGAAGGGATTCCTGGAAGTCTATGTCTCAAAGATATACAAAAAATTGTTCTGACAAGTACAGCCCACACTTTACGAAGGGCTTTATCTATGTATTTTTTTTTTTGTCAGTGGAAAGTGTCATGATGCCATTTTTAACCTTAGGTCCCTGGGCGAGACCCGGAAAGAAATGTGTAAACGCCAGAAATCAAAGAAAATAAAAAATGATAATAATAATAATAATGTTATGAATATATGCCAGACACTATGGTAGAAAATTACAGTCACCATTTTACAGGAATTTTTCGGGCCAGATAGATAATTTTTTGTAAGCTAGATGACCCGTATTTTCCAACATACACGACCTTTCCCATAGACGAAAAATGACACGACTCATACTACACTGTCATTATTTCGATGGCAAATATTCTGACGTGATACATTCTTTAGTTCGACCCCTCCTATGATCTACAGGCAGGACACGCCCTGACACGTGCCGCAGGGACGAATCATTCTCATTCCCTTCGTCCATCAAATTATTGACTTTGCTGTTAAAATACCAGGACCTCGCTTGGGATTTGAAGAAGGCACAGAAGATGACTGTTGAAGCAATTTTGCCAAGAAAGCTGAAAGACCGTTGAGGGAAACAACAGAAATATGTCAAACGAGAAAGAGAGAAAGAGGGAAAGCATACGGGCAAAAAGAAAGAGAAAGAGAGAGATGTGGAAAGATATATAGAAAAAGAGAGGGAGGGAGGAAGAATGCGTTTAAAAAAGGAAAAAAGGCATTGACTGAGGGAGAAAGAGAAAGAACTAAAGAGAAAGTAAGAATGAGCGTGGCCGTATAAAATGAAGGAAATGAAACAAAATGAGAATGTAGCATGTAAAAAGAAAAAGAAGGAGAAGGTCAAGAAGATAAAAAAGAAGAAAAGGAAGAAGAATGAAGGGCGGAATGAATGAATGAAAAACAAGACAGGAAAATAGAATTGTGTAGAATGAGGGTAAAATGAATAAAGAAATATAAAGCATGAAGAAAAAATAATAAATGAATGAAAATTAAGTGTGAAAAAGTTGGAGAATGAATGAGAAGTAAATAAGAAAAAAAAAGAAGAAAACGAAGAAGAAACAGGTGAATAATAATAATAATAATAATAATAATAATAATAATAAGAAGAAGAAGAAGAAGAAGAAGAAGAAAGAAAAAAGACACAGGCGAAGAAGAATAAGGTGAAGGAAAAGAAGCAGATAAATAATAATAATAATAATAATAAAAATAAAGAAGCAGGCGAAGAAGAAGAAGCAGCAGGTGAAAAAAAAAACAATAACAAGAAGATGCTGAAGCAGGCGAAGAAGAAGAAAAAGAAATTGGCGAAGAAGAAGCAGGCGAATAATAATAATAATAATAATAATAATAATAAGAAGAAGAAGAAGAAGAAGAAGAATGAATGAATGAATGAAAATCAAGAGGGGAAAATAAGATGGTGTTGAATGCGGTTAAATGAGTAAGGCACGAAGAAGAAGAAGAATGAATGAATGAATAAATGAAAATGAAAACGCAGGGAAATGAATGAGAGATAAGTAAGAAAAAGAAGAAGAAGCAGGTGAAGAAGAAGGAGCATGCAAATAATAATAATAATGAGAAGAAGAAGAAGAAGAAGAAGAAGAAGATGTGAGATGATGATGATGATGATGATGATGATGATGATGATGATGATGATGAAAGAGGTGTATGGGCTGAAGGAGAAGTTTAAATATAATGTAAGGAAGTAGAAGGAAGATGCATTGGAGAAAATAAGGTGGAGGAAGCGCTTAATAATAATAATAATAATAATAATAATAATAATAAGAAGAAGAAGAAGAAGAAGAAAGAGAGAGAGCGCGCGATAAATTCAAACCTAAATGTAAAATTGACGGAAAGATTCAAGTGAAGAGAATGAAAAAGATATATGTAGAAAGAAAAAAGGAGGAGCCAGTGAAAGAGAGAATGAAAGATAGAAAAAGAGTGCCAAAAAAGAGAGAAAAAGGAGAGAAAAAGTCATCCCGAGGAATAGATAGGATATAGATTCAAAGAAAAGAAAAAAAGGGGAAAGAAAAAAAAAAAGATCAATTCCGATCAGTGTTGCTTGTTTCAGTTTTCATTTCGTGAAGAGGTCGTCTTTTCTGCAAGCAGTTTGATAAATAGAACGCTACGTTAAAGGAGTGCGCATGCGTGAACCAAAACAGCAATTGAGTTTCGATGTGGTTTGAATTAATTGCGACATTCGCAGTTTGTACCCAGTTGGAGGCTGGATCGTAATGAAGCTTGCTAGATCGAGAGTGATGGGCAGAAAGGCAACCGGAAGTTTAAGATGGATATAAATAGTTATTGTCTTCGGACGAAACGAAATGAAACAAACGACAAATAAAACCGGAAAGCATTTTATAAAATGGACTCTAAAGAAAAGAAGAAGAAAAAAAAAGAGGGCTCTCAATGTAAATAAAATAAATCTCTATTTCGCAAGCGATTGATATTAAAGGCTCACGATTTATTTAGATAGATGACCAAGGAAAGAAAATGAGAGAACGAAGAAAAAAAAAGAGAAATCATTTACAAAGAAACGAAGCCTCTCGACGCTCTTAAGAAAAAAAATATGTAGTAAGTGATTGCAAAAAGCTGATCATCATTTGAAATAAAAAAAAAAAATAGAAAGAATAAATTAAATAACAAGAAGAAAATGGCAGTGTTAAAAAAGATATACAACTGATGACGACAGAGGTTTGAGAAATTGGGATGAGAAACTGAGAGGGGGAGGAGGAGGTTGTGCAGGAAGCGAAAAAGAAGACGAAAATGATAAAAAAGAGAGACGAGTGATGACGAGAGACTTTGAGAAATTGGTCAGAAATACAAGAAGAAGAAGAAGAAGAAGAAGAAGAAGAAGAAGAAAGTGACAAGAATTTGAGCAATTAGTCGAGAAAGAAGATGATAATGATGACCAATAATAAGAAGGTGATAAATGGAGAGATGAGTGATGAAAAGAGACGATTGAGAAATTGGTTAAAGAAGAAGAAGAAGAAGAAGAAGGTGATAAGAATTTGAGAAATTGGTTGAGGAAGAAGATGTTGATGATAAAGAAAAAGAAGAAGAAGAAGAAGAAGAAGAAGAAAGTGATAAGAATTTGAGAAATTGGTTGAAGAAGAAGATGTTGATGACAAAGAAGAAGAAAAAGAAGAAAATGAAGAAGAAAGTGATAAGAATTTGAGAAATTGGTTTGTGAAAAAGATGAAGAAGAAGAAGAAGAAGAAGAGTGTGGAACAAAGGAAAAAGAAGAGGAGGATACAAAGAATAAATTGAAAAAGACGAAAGCAAGGAAAATGTAATAAAAAACATGAGAGAGTAGAAAAAGGTGAAGAAGAAGAAGAAGAAGGTGATAAGAATTTGAGAAATTGGTTGAGGAAGAAGATGTTAATGATAAAGAAGAAGAAGAAGAAGAAAGTGATAAGAATTTTAGAAATTGGTTGAGGAAGAAGATGTTGATGATAAAGAAGAAGAAGAAGAAGAAGAAGAAGAAGAAGAAGAAGAAGAAAGTGATAAGAATTTTAGAAATTGGTTGAGGAAGAAGATGTTGATGATAAAGAAAAAGAAGAAGAAGAAGAAGAAGAAGAAGAAGAAGAAGAGTGTGGAACAAAGGAAAAAGAAGAGGAGAATACAAAGAATAAATTGAAAAAGACGAAAGCAAGGAAAATGTAATAAAAAACATGAGAGAGTAGAAAAAGGTGAAGAAGAAGAAAGAAATGAAGAAAAAAGAAAACAAAGTTATAATGAAGTCAAGGAAGAGGAAGGTGAAACAATAAATGGGAAAGAAAGAAATGTAAAGAAAAAACAAAAGTTTATTATATTAAATAGAAGGAAAAGAAAAAAGAGAATGGAATATTAGAAACGAAAAACGATAAAGAAATTCTGCAAGATAGAAAACTGAAGAATTTTACCTAGAGAAATACCAGGACAAGAGAAGAATAAACAATTCTAATAGACGTAAAGAACTGGGTGAATGTTAAATAAATTAGAGAGAAATAAAAAAAAAAAGTTGAGGAATAGAGAAGGAAATAATGACCGAAAATGATATAGGTATGAATGAAAAATAATAGGAAAAGAAAGAAAGAAAGAAAGAAAGAAAGAAAGAAAGTTCGAAGGATTTTAGGAATGGAATATGGTGGAAGAAAACGGAAATATTAAAAAGAAAGAAGAAAGTACGTAACATAAAAGGAGGTGTGCAAAGAGGATCAGAAAGAGAAAATATAAAAAAGATAGAAAATATAAAAAAAAGAGCAAAGGAGAGGAAAAGGGAAGTTGAAAAAGTAAGAGAAGAAGAATCTTAATAATGAAAGAAAGGTAGAAGTAATTGTGAAATGAGTGAAAAGAGAGTAGGAAAAAAGAAAAAGAAAATGGAGGAAGAGAATAAAGAAAACGGCAGACAAGAATTTTGCTTCAAAGAAAGAAAGAAAGAAAGAAAGAAAGAAAGAAAGAAAGACGTACCAAATCATAGCCAAAATTGAAAGAAAATTTCTCTATCGCGAAGTGAAGTGACGCGCATGCGTGAACGCAGCTGGACAAAATTGATGTCTGTGAATACCGACTAACAGCAACGGAGAGAAAAAGTAAAGCCAATAATAATAATAATAATAATAATAATAATAATTCCCCCCCAAAATAAGAAGAAAATAAGAAAAAGGTACAGTTAAAAAACAAAACAAAACTTTAAAACGTTATGCGGTAGGAGACGAAGAAAAATGACAGCACTGTCGAAGGAAACTGTTTATTTTGCATAAAATTTGCATATAGAAGGCCTAATTTCCTTTTGCAGTCGAATCATGAATTCTCAATTAGTTTCGATTTCTTTCGTACGAAGCGCCAACCCTGCCACAATGAACGACTTGTGCTTTTCTTCTCTCTATTTTTTTGTTTAGTCTCTACTAACCACTATTCAATCCAACACTGTCTTCCTCTCAGTCATTGTTTCCTTATCAGTCTTCCTCTCTCTTTTACGAGATATCATTTATATTTCTATTATGTTGCTTTCTCTTCCGACCACAACCATAGCGGCGAGAGCGCCATTGCGATCGCCATTACAAACAACGATAGGTTCTGTCGCATTGGACCTGTAAGACAAAAACTCCCTTACCTGCCTCCCCGATGCGGTCATCGAAAAGAAAGGCTTCAATGGTCTTTCTTTCAAAATATCAGGCAGGCTTTTCTTCCACCTCTTCTATAATTTTTCTTTCATACTTTTTCTTTCCCTTTATTTTATTTATCGATCTCTTTTCTATCTTAACAACGTATATATTATGACACTTCTTTCTTTCTTTTTCACCATATTCATCTTCTTCAATTCTCTCTTTCATATATTTCTCTTTCTTTTTTATTTTATTTCTCCTTCACTTTTTTATCTTAACAACATATATGTTATGTAAGCGCCTTCCTTCCTTTCTTTCTTTTCCTTGCTTTCTTTCTTTTCCTTGCTTTCTTTCTTTCGCCCATTTCGCTTCCTTTCTTTCTTTTCACTTTCTGCCTTTCATTTCTCTTTCATTATTTCTTTCTGCCTGTCTGTCTTTCTTTTCCTTTCTTTCTTTCTTTCGTCGATTTCTCTTTCTTTCTTTCTTTCTTTCTTTCTTTTCATTTTATTTCTTTGATTTCTCTTTCTTTCTTTCTTTTGCTTGCTTTCTTTCTTTCGTTCATTTCTTTTTCTTACTTTTATTTCTCTTTCTTTCTTGTTTTCTTTTCCTTGCTTTCTTTCTTTCGTTCATTTCTCTTTCTTTCTTTCTTTCTTTCTTTCTTTCTTTTTCTTCTTGTTCTTCTTCTTCCATTTTCTCTTTTTTCATTTCTCTTTTTCATATTTTTAAAACATATACCTTCTGCTATCGTTTTTTTTTCTTTTTTTCATGTATCTGCTTCTTCCCATGCCGATATTTTTACAGTTTTTCATTCTCATCATTCTTCTTCTTCTTCTTCTTCTTCTTCTTCTTCTTCTTCTTCTTCTTCTTCAGAAATGTTCATCTATTTTTCTCTCTTTCATTTTTTTGAGTTATCCTACTCATTATTATATTTACGTCATCTATCTCTGCCACATTTTTCTTCTTCTTTTTCGATTTTCTCTTTCATCTCTTTTTCTTTCTTTTTATTTTCTTTTTTCTTTTTTTCTTTTTATCTTTACACTATTTATCATCTGTCATCTTCTTTTTTTCTTCCACTTATCTTTTTTCTGTGGCAAATTCTTTTTCTTTTTTCTCCTTTTTTTCTCTTCTTCACTTTCTTTTTTCTTTTTTTCTTTTTCTTCTTTTCCCTTCTTCTTTTCTTTTTCTTCTTCTTTTTCTCTTTCTTCTTCTTTTCTTTCTTCTTCTTCTACTTTTTCTTCTTCTTTAGACATTTACAAGAAATATACTTATGTACGCCTAGTGCACAAAATGCTAGCAAATCATTGAAAATAGATAGAAAGAAAGAATAAAAAAAGAGTGGAGAGTCAATAAAGTTTTAAGAATAACGATCACGTGACTCGGAACCCCTGTGGGTCGTAGAGGCACCTCATGTACTACAGCCGTATCAGCAACAGGCCTGACGGAGCCTAACCTTCTCCTAGACTGGTTGCTAATCAAGATTAAGTCCAATCTGCCCTATTATTTAAAGAGTTTGAGTTATCTTTTTAAAGACTGCTTGCCAACCAAGACTAAAAGTCCCTAAATCTCTCGTGCTATTTAACCCATAGCTGGAGAGTAGAAGAGATGGATTCATATCTTCTCAAGTGTATTTACGCGTAAGTGACTGCAATGAAATCAACTGAAATTCGAACACAGCGTTACACATTTCAAACCGCTAATTGTTACATCATCGCTCATCCAAAGTTTTAAGAATGACAGTCATAATGAATTTTGGGAAAATGAAAACAACCAGAAAGAACGGGGAAAAAGAATATAAAATAAATTTTCTTGAAAAGTTAAGACAAACAATAAGAAAGGAAAAAGAAGAAGGGAAATAAAAGAGGGAAAAGAAAAAAAGAAGAAGAAAAGAGGAAAAAGAAGAGGAAAAAGATGATGAGGAAAAAGAAAAAGAAGACGAAAAAGAAGAAGAAAGAAAAAGAGGAAAAAGAAGAAGCAGAAAAAGAAGAAAACAAAGAAGAAGAAGAAGGTGATGGTGGTGGCAATAAAAAGATTGACGAATGATGACGCGAGACGTTTGAGAAATTGGTCAGGAATAAAAGAAAACTTTGAAGTATTTAAATAATAATAATTTAAATAATAATAAAACAGAAGAAAAAAATAAAAGAGGATAAATAGAAACAAGAGAAAAAGAAAAAAGGAGGAAAAAGAAATGGAAAATGAAGAAGAATAGAGGAAGAAGGAAAAGAAAACGAAGATCATGAAAAGGAAAAAAGAAGAAGAAGAAGAAGAAGAAGAAGAAGAAGAAGAAGAAGAAGAAGAAGAAGAAGAAGATTGTGGTGGTGGTGGTGGTAATAAAAAAGATTGAAGAATGATGACGCGAGACATTTGAGAAAGTGGTCAGGGTTACAAGATAACTTTAAAGTATTTAAATAATAATAATTATAATAACAACAACAACAACAACAATAATAATAATAACAATAATAATAATAATTGACTGTCTTGTATCAGGTTTCACCCAATATAAAACTCGGTATGCCAGGAAAGGCTAATATCTGCACTGGAAAATATGTATTGTTTACGGCATGGAAACTGTAAGAAAATATTATAAATATCCTTTAAACGAAGTTACAGAGATCAGATCTGTAACAATTTCATGGGACTTTACAATACACACAGACAGAAAAATCAAAACGAATCTCGCCCAGACATCGTGACCAAAGACAACAAAAAAAAAAACAACAACAAAAAACGGAAGCTTTCTCATACATGGCAGCTTCCGTATCATGGAACATCTTCAAAAATTATAAAAATTAAAGAATTTTGAAATTCAAATTTCAAAACAATTTTGGTTGGAGCACTGAGTTTGAGTAGAAAAATGCTCTGATAGACTGATTGAAGGGAATCCGGACAACCAATGTCTAAGGGAAATACAAACTCACGCCTACAAAGGGCTTTATCAATGTAAAACGTGTATGTTTTTGTTATTTTACACAAATATTCAATGGCAAATGTCATTAAATGATTTTTGAACTGGGATCTCTATTTGGGGCCCTAAATAAAATGAGTATGCAACATAAATCAAAGGAAATAATAATAATAATAATAATAATAATAATAATAATAATAATATTGCAGTAGACTAATTGAAGGGATTCCTGGAAGTCCATGCCTCAAGGAGATACAAAAATTGTTCTGACAATTACAGCCCACACTTTACGAAGGGCTATATCTATGTAATTTTTTTTTAGTCAGTGGAAAGTGTCATGTTGCCATTTCTAACCTTAGGTCCCTGGGCGGGACCCGGAAAGAAATGTGTAAACGCCAGAAATCAAAGAAAATAATAATAATAATAATAATAATAATAATAATAATAATAATAGTAAAATAATAATAATAATAAAAATAATAATAATAATAATAATTCAAAATGGAGTTTCAAATGGGCTTAGAGATGCAACTACAGCACAATACACCGGCTGAAACTGCAAAATACCTAAAAAAAGACAGCAAAGACGAATGCAACCGACCAGATACAGAAGCGATGGCAAGATAAACCGCTTCATGGCCAATACTCTGCCCGTACCAAACAAGCTGACGTAGACAAAACCCGTACCCATCAGTGGCTACGTAGTGCAGGGTTGAAAGCGGAAACTGAAGGTTTTATCCTTGCTGCGCAGGACCAATGCTTGCTAACTAGGAATTATCAAGCACATATACTAAAATATTGTGTCAGCCCAAAATGCAGATTCTGTGATAAATATCCAGAAACGATTGATCATCTTGTATCAGGTTGCACCATATTGGCACCCACTGAATATAAAACCCGACATGACAGTGTGGGCCAATATCTGCACTGGAAAATCTGCAACTTCTACGGGAAGGAAACTGAAAGAAACTGGCATGAACACCACCCAGACCCGGTTACGGAGATAGGACCTGTTACAATTCTATGGGATTACACAATACACACTGACAGAACACTCAAGGCCAACCGCCCAGATATTGTTGTTAAAGACCAGAAACAAAAACGGTGCCTCCTTATTGATATGGCAGTCCCTGCTGACTGCAATGTATCTTTGCTTTGAAGATATTCAAAAAGTTGTCAAAGTACAAGGACCTTGAAATAGAAATCTCGAAAATGTGGCATATGGGAACACCAACAATCCCTGTTGTAGTTGGAGCCCTAGGACTGGTTGGAAAAGATTGCAGTAGACTAATTGAGGGGATTCCTGGAAGTCCATGCCTCAAGAAGATACAAAAAATTGTTCTGACAAGTACAGCCCACACCTTACGAAGGGCTTTATCTATGTAATTTAATTTTTTTTTCTTTTTTTCTTTTTTTTCTTTTTTCTTTTTTTTTGTCAGTGGAAAGTGTCATGACGCCATTTCTAACCTTAGGTCGCTGAACGGGACCCGGAAAGAAATGAGTAAACGCCAGAAATCAAAGAAAATAATAATAATAATAATAATAATAATAATAATAATAATAAGAAGAAGAAGAAGAAGAAGAATAAAACTTCAAAATAGAGTTTCAAATGTATGCAGAAATACAAGCAAAGCACTGTTTGAAGCCGCAAAATACATAAAAAAGAAAGTGAAAACAAATGCAACTGACCAGATACAGAGGCGATGGCAAGATAAACCACTTCATGGCCAATACTCTGCCCGTACCAAAAAAGCTGATATAGACAAGCCCCGTACCCATCAGTGGCTACGAAGCGCAGGGGTAAAAGCTGAAATGGAAGGTTTTATCCTTGCTGCACACGATCAGTGCTTGTTAAAATCTGTAACTTCTACGGGAAGGAAACTGAAAGAAAATGGTCTGAACACCACCCAGACCCAGTCACGGGGATAGGACCTGTAACATTTTTATCGGACTACACAATACACACAGACACAACAATCAAAGCTAACCACCCAGACATTGTTATTAAAGACCACAAAGAAAAAACGCGCTTCCTTATTGATATGACAGTCCCTGCAAACTGCACTGTATCTTTGAAGATCTTCAAAAAGCTGTCAAAATACAAGGACCTTGAAATCGAAATCTCAAAAATGTGGCACATGGGAACATCAGCAATCCTTGTTGTAGTTGGGACCCTCGGAGTGATTGGAAAACTTTCCAGTAGACTAATTGAAGGGATTCTTGGAAGTCCATGCAATAAAAAAATTGTTCTCACGATTACAGCCCACAACTTACGAAGGGCTTTATCTATGTAAAATATGATTTTTTTTTTCTCATTGGAAAATGTCATGATGCTATTTCTTACCTTACGTACCTGGGCGGGACCCGGAACGAAATGTGCACACAGCAGAAATCAAAGGAAATAAAATAATAATAATAATTCATCATCTTGTTATAGGTAACCTTATAAAATTGTTAACCAATATCTGCACTGGAAAATCTGCAGATTTTGTGCTTAGAAAGCTAAAAAAAATAAAAATAAATGTAAGAACATCAGTTCGACCAGGTTACATCCGCGTCCAGGGTATGTCCAAGAGCAAGGCCTCTGATCAGGTGGTTTTAAAGAGCGTGGAATAACCTCTTAATTACTGGTGTTCCCAGGTCTACCTTGACCCGGGTTGGTAGCACCTGTTAGGGTCCCAGCCATGGGCCAATAAGTAAAACCTAAACTGGGGTGAAAAAACACTCTGAAAGCGTAAAAATAGTGTTTAATATCAGCAGTACATTTTTGTAAAAAATAATTACCAGCAATATATTTTTGAAAAAAAAAATATTACCAGTAATATATTTTTGAAGAAATATATTAGCAGCAATACATTTTTTTTGACAAAAACATAAGCAGAAGTAAAAAATCTTGTCAGCATTAAATAACCCATTGAGGTTGTTATGCCATAAAACAATCCAAACCAAAAACCAGGTTACAGACATAGGAAGTGTAACAAGCATATGTGACGTTACAGTACATAGACAGAACAATCTAATCACATAGACATAAGGATCAAATACACCACAGAAACACACTGTAATGTATCTATGAAGATATTTCAAAAAACGCTCAAAACAAGAATTTCGAAGCAGAAATTTTAAAGAAAATATGGCACATGAAAGCATTAATAATTGCCGTTAGGGCCCTGACTCTGGCCTGTAGGGAACCCTGGCAGAGTATGTCTTAAAGAAATAAAAGAAAAAGTGTTCTTACAAACACAAATCATGCTCTATAAATGGACTGATTTTTTTCTCTCTTTTTATTACACAAATGTTTAGTCGAAAGTGTCATGATGCCATTTGTGAACTTTGGTCTCTTGTTGGGACCGGGAATGAAATATAGTATATAAGAGAAATCAAAGGAAATAATAAT